CCAACAATGTTAAAGGTTTCTTTTTTAACCATGTGTCTATGACAACAGTTGAATTTGCTCTCCTATCTCCCTTAAATATGAGTCAGGCTTCAAAAGCCCTGACCTTCTCTAAAGAGAAGTGCTGTGGGCCTCATGGTCCAAACGTGGCACAACTCCACTTTGGCAGTTTTATGGGGTATTCTTCATCTTTCACACACACCCCCAATCCTTTCCCTTATTTTCCCCCTCCTCCTCACAAGCTACATCTCAGGCTTCCCTTGTCCCACACTGTGCATTGTGGTTTTTCAATTTTCAGAGCGGTCTCCCCTTTGCTCACTGAGCTGACAGGTTTGCTCAGAAATTAGTAGCTATTCTGACTTTCACTGTCATAGTAAGACTCCCTTGGGCTGTGTAAGAATCCTTTTCCTTGGCCTATGGTGGTGCCTGGATGGATACATCGACTGCTGCCGAGTTGTTCTGCTATCTGCTTAGTCCTTAGCATTCCCTTCCTGCCTTGGGGAAGGGAAAGAAGTTGGTCTGGGGCTGGGGGGCAACCTGCATTTGCTTTCCCCAATCACATAACAGGGAATGTGGAGGTAGAGCCTGGTGACATGCTAACTAAATTACCTTTATGAGAAACATGAGTTCCCATCACAAAGCACCCATGCATCTCAGTGTCACGGTGAGGTAGCTGCTGCGTGCTGATGATGCCCACTGCAGTGATGAATGGCCAAGTTCCATTTGCTCTTTCACAGTGCACTTTTCTTCTCCATAAAACACAGCCTCATGCATGCTCACTGCAAGTTCCCTTGCATTCTTGCTGTCTCGTCACTTCATGTTTTTAATTTGCTGAATGTGGCATGAGGCAGGAGGACATCAATGATGAAAGAAGTGTGAGCTGGAGAAAAACATAAAACTGATTATTGCTGGAGGAGCATTTGTTCCCCTCCAGCCAAAGCCAAGGGAAGAATGAAAAGAAATGTAACTTTATGTTTGAAAGAAAACCTCTTGCCACTCAGCTCACATCAAAGTTATCATCAGAGCAGAAAGCCCCTGTAAGCAGTGCAAAAACGTCTATGACTTAACCATTTGGAAGGAAGCTATATAGTATGGTTTGGGGCAAATCTAGCTCTTCTCTTTGCTATATAACTCTGGACAGGTGCTTTACTCTTCCTGACCCTCAGTTTTCTCATCTGTATAATGAGAATAATTGTGCCTGCATCTTCCTTCTATAATTGTTGTGAGGGTTAAATGACTTAATGCCTACTTTGTTTGTATGTATATGGAATTTACACACTATGCAGGCATAGAATAAGGGTTCATTATACAGTATATAAAGAGCTCTGGTGGCACAGTGCCTAAGGCATTTCACTGCTAACCAAAATGTTAGCGGTTCAAACCCACCAGACACTCCATGGAAGGAAGATGGGGTGATCTAGTTGCATAAAAATTTACAGCCTCGAAAACCCAATGGGGGTCGCTATGAGTGGAAATCCACTCAATGGCAGTGGTTTGGTTTGGTTTTATATACTATCTTATTACAATTAGGCTGATTTCATTAAAAGCAGCCCTGACAGCCAAACTTAGTTACCAATTTAACAACATGGTATAGTTGTTTGAAATTTGACTTTAAATCCTCCACTATGTACTGGCTCTGTGAAATTGAGCAAGTTACTTAACTTCTCTGAACTTGAGTTCCTCCCCCTGTAAAATAAAGATGACCAAACCTCCTAAGGGGTGGCTTTGAGGAAAGCACTTAGCACAATACCCAGCATAGAGCCGCAGACACTTAATAAATGTTTTTCTAGCGCTGTGAGTCTCAACCGCATCCAGTCACCCGGGAGCTTTTTAAAAAGCACAAATACCTAAGCCACATCCCTAGAGAATATGATTTAATAGGTCTGGGGTGGAGCCTATCCATCAGTACTTTTGAAAGCTTCCTGCAGAGTCTAATAAGCAGCCAGAGCTGATAACTACTCCACCAGTAGATGACGTTACACGGTGTGTGTGGATGTGGGTGTGTGTGCATGCACATGTGTGTATGTTTTTGTTTTGTTTTGTTTTTTACATCTGCCCCCAAGAAGCTGGCTAGAATAGCAGAAATTCGAGGCACAGTCAAAAATTCAGTACACCTGCAGGTGTAAGCCCTTGATAAGAAATGTGCAGCAAAGGAATTGCATTCCATTTTATTCTGGGGGGAAAAAAGTATTCAAAGAGTCCTTTGAGAGTCCTGAACTGGAAAGGTGGTAAGAAGTTTAGCCTAAGCCTTACATATAAAATATGGGAACTCCCAGTAGGTTGGGGATTTATATCTGGGGGTAATTCCAGGGTTTTGGGCTCCCAAGAGATATAAATTGAGGCCTTGCGAGTTTAATGTGAGGGAGGAAGAGGTGTTCTCATAATGACACCTTAAAAATCCAGGGCTCTGCTAATGCCTAGGGATCGAAAAGCATCATCTGTGATGGCAGGGGATGGAGTGGGGGTCTGCCCTGGTCTCTGTGCTTATGTTTCCAAGATCCAAGGCTAGGTCATCCGAGAACCTTCTTTCTCCCCATAGGTTTATGGTTTTAGTTACCCAATAAAAGTTGGGTTAATTTTACAACCCAAGTAAAATTTAAGCCAAAAAGTCTTCAGCATTACTCTAGGATTTATGAAAGTAAACATGTGGAGTGCTTGCAGGATTTTGCAACATTAAAATTTCAATGTCTTTATGTTGGGTATATGATATATTCATTTGTATGTGTACTTAAAGGTTACATTTTTAAAGAAAGCTTTGCAGTACAAACTATTTTCAGAACTAAATGAAGCTACTTCCCCCATCTCCACTTAAAAATGACTGTTACAGTGGATGGGAATTTGAAAGCAGCTGAAAACTGGTGTCTTTTAATAATCAGCCCTATCACATACTTCTCACCTGGTTTCCTACTCTACAGTGATTTCTAGACTCCCACACTGGGGATGTTCAGGGCCAGAGCACTAACTACAGTCCATTTTACAAAGGAGAAGCTTACTAAATAACAGTTCTTCAAGTAAGTGGCCTCTTTGGTAATTGTACAAGGAGCTCTGGTGGCATGGTGGTTAAAGCATTCAGCTGCTAACCAAAAGGTTGGAAGCTCAAATCCACCAGGTGCTCCAAGGGAAAAGAGGAGGCAGTCTGATTCCATAAAGATTTATAGCCTTGGAAAGCCTCTGGGACAGTTCTACTCTGTCCTGTAGGGTCGTTGTGAGTTGGAATTGATTCGGCAATGGGTTTGGTTTGGGTTTTGGTCATTGTAAATACTTAAATAATAATCATATGTTACCTCTGCATAGCACTTTTTGAAAACTTTTCCATTGTATGCTGGAATCCTCAAGACTTACTTATGGGGTGTTGTTGTTGTTAGTTGCCCTTAATTTATGGCAACCTCATGTGTGCAGAGTGGAACTACTCCATAGGTTTTTCAAGGCTGTGACTTTTCAGAAGCAGATCACCGGGCTTGTGTTCTAAGGTATCTCTCTAGGTGAATTTGAACAGCCAGTCTTTCAGCTAGTAAAATGCTTAACCATTTGTGCCACCAGGGGCTTTCATTTGTGGGGTAGAGAGGTCGTTTATCAGATGCATCTTATCCATTATAAAAACATGGTTCAAATGGGTCAGACAGTTCTTGTTGTTAGGTGTCATCAAGTTGGCTCCAACTCATAGTAACCTTATATATAAACAGAACAAACTTTGCCCGGTCTTGCACTGTCTTCACAATCCTTGATGTGTTAGAGCCCATTGTTGAAGCCACTGTGTCAATATGTCTCATTAAGAGTCTCCCTCTTTTTGGCTGACCCTTTACTTTATCAAGTATGTTGTCCTTCTCCAATGATTGATACCTCTCGACGACATGTCCAAAGCAAGTGAGACAGTCTCTCCATCTTCACTTCCAAGGAGCATTCTGACTATACTTCCTCCAAGATTACCCGTTCATTCTTCTGGTAGTCCATGGTATAGTTAATATTCCTCCCCAACATTACAATTCAAATGTATCAATTCCTTCGTGTTATTTTTGACTTGTTCAGCTTTCTTACACATATGAGATCATTGAAAAGACCATAGCTTGGGTCAGACACACTTTAGTCACCAAAGTGACATCTTTGATTTTTGAAGATGTATTTTGCCACAGTTTTGCCCAGTACAGCACATCATTTGATTTCTTAACTGCAGGAAGAGGATTTTGTTTTCCTGACTATTGTTCTGGGGTACTTTAAGCTAGAAGAAACCAAAGAAGAAGAATGGCATTTAGTTCAAATGATTGAGTCCAGCCAGGTTAGCAGAGAAGCAACATCTAGGGTAGAGTTCAGTCCATGCACATGGCTGACAGCCTTTTGTTTGGCTGTGGTCTGCTTGTGAGAAACAATAGTTTGACTTTTTCTCTCAGTTTCCTTGGATCTAGTGACTCATTTCAGATTTGCCAGTCCACACTTCGCCTTTGCCCTCTTTTGGCAGGTAAATATAATGAGTCCTAAGCAGTGAGGAGCCACATACCTGGGCTGCCCTCTGGTTTCTTTCCAGATGCACCGAGCTTTTCCCCTTGTAGATCCCCCTAATTGACATATCAATTGACGTGGATTTTGTGGATAATGCGCTCACGCCTTTGTAGCAAATGAAGCAGAAATAATCTCTGCTTAGGAAAAAAAAAAAAAAAAAAAACCTGTAGAGCATGTGCCCTGATTTCCAACTCATTTCCTTTTTACTCTTATACTTTACATCATCTTCCAGCCTACCACCAGCTGCGAAAATAAATTTTTTTTTCTCATATTTAGGGATGATTTTTGTGCTTTGGGATGATTTTTCTAGGGGTGTAGGATACTTGATCAACGTGACCAACAGATGTTTTAGGGGATGGATGGAACTGAGCTAGAGCCAGATTCCTTAGCCCAATCTTTTGGATACTGTGCCTGACTGCACCCCCTAGCGACTGCTTAAGGGGTTGTGCAGCCAAAGTCAACCATGTCAATGTGTGAGGCAGCTACTAATGTCCATGCTTTATTTTTAGAGATGAATATGAAGAAGATGGATTCTGTCAGCCATACAGAGGGATTGCATGTGCAAGATTTATCGGCAACCGCACTGTCTACATGGAGTCTTTGCACATGCAAGGGGAAATAGAAAATCAGATCACAGGCAAGTAACGTCAATGAAATTATACTTATCCTTTGAATAACTATTTTTCTCCCCAATAGTCTTTGAACATTTCTCCTGACCAAGTATGAGGCTGGGCAAGATGGCTGGGAGCAGTAACATGAAGAAGTATGAGACATGATCTCTGTGCTCTGGAATTTACATTAAAATAATTTATTGAAGGTTGCTCTTAGAGGAAAAGGAAGCTTTGAGAAGTCTCACATTCATTCAGACACTCAATAAATATTATTGAGTGCTTTCAGTGTACTGGGAACTGGACTGAGCACTGGGGATATGATGGAGTGGTGAATAAGCCAGGTATGTCTCTGCCCTCACAGAGCTTACTGTTTGGAAGCAACATGATGTAGAGTAAAAGAGAATGAATTTAGGGTCTAGCTGAATGATAATCCCAGAACTACCATTACTGTGACTTTGGGGAAATCATTCACCCTCCATGAATATCTCTTTTTCTTCATCTGTGAAATGAATGATGAGGTAAGATGATCTTAGGTCATTTCCCTTTCTAGCTTGCATATTTACCTTTCTTTTTCTATTTTTTAAATTTAAGTGTCTTTCTTTTCAATTGCAACCTAATAGTGAAGCATTTTCTGGTACACATGAGTTAGGTACTGTAGCCTACCTTGTACAATTTTGCTGGTGGTTATAGCGGCCTTGGACCTGTTCCATTATTGTAGTTATGTCTCTGTGCTGTGTATCCTTTGAGATCTATTAAAATTGGCTTCATGAAGTGTTAATGGGTTTGCCATATTTAGCAAATAAAAATACAGGATACCCAGATAAATATGAATTTCAGATAAACAGGGAATGATTTTTTAGTATAAGTATGTCCCAAATTTTTATCTGAAGTTTAAATGTAACAGAGCATATTCTAATTTATCTGGCAATAGTAAGATTTAAGAGAGCTGAGAACAAACCCAAAATGGGCACATTAAACAGCAAAAAGTCTAGAAACTATGCCCGATGGGAAATTTGAAGGAACCTGGGGTGAGAGGAGGAACTATTTAATTAGAAGAAGCAACTATGGGAAGACGTAATTACCCCTCACCGAAGCTTCAGTCTTTCAAGAGGAAAAATAATTCTGTGAAATTCCAGAGAACAGAAGAAGTAGGACTGGTGGGGAAAAGATGTTGAAGGCACAATTCAACCTAATCTAAGAAAATTTTAACATGCTTTTAACTAAATATTCACAAAAAATAAATGGGAAGTTCTGATATAAATATTTCATACTTCAATTATAATAATCCTGTCGTGGAGATTTTCTATGAACATCAACTAACTGGAAAGTATTATACTTCACAAAAAAAAATCCATTTAACTTTGTTTAATCCAGCATTTCCCAAAATTGTTTGGCCAAGAACCCTAATTTCTCCCAACACTATTTATGTTCTATAGAATTAATGTTCTGAGGAACATGCTTTGGGAAGTAGTATTTCAACAACCTCATAGGCTGCCGTGTGAGGTATAAATTCCTTGTCGTTGGAGGTATTCAAAGGGAGAAAGGGTGCTCCTTTTGTACATGGATACTCTCTATTGGGTAATAAATTAGGCCACAGGATCACTAACATTCTATGGTTGTTACTGGGACAATTGAGTTGTGCTCTTCAATAGCTACCAAGTGAGTTGCCTCATTTTTCAGAAGTTGGAGTAGAAAGCATTCAAGCCACAAAGAAATTAAGTAAGTTACCCAAAGTCAACCAACAACTCGGAGGCAAGCCACAGAACTAAATTCTGTGATCAGGCACAGCCACTGCATAAAGCAAGCTCTGCCCTGCAGCTGTCAAATGTTTTAGAAGCTTCACAAAACTAATAAAAAGTACCGGATGAAACACAGTCCTGTTGCTTTGTAGTAAAAATGAAAAATATATTGTGCTTTAACCTAATTAATTCTTTTTATTAGGAAATGGTACATATGTAATATAATCTTGTTTTTTTTAACTTTGTAGTCAAAATGATTTCTTCAAGCCAGTGAAAGTAAGCTGCTTAGACATCTGAAATGAATCTCCTCCTTTTGGCCTTGTCTGTCTGAGCACAGCAGATTCTGTCCAATGTGTGTTTATATCTGATATCTGTTGACTAGATAACCAGAGAAGATAAACCCTAGCCCCTGGGAGTTAGTAATTGTGTTTGTTTTTCAGCTGCCTTCACCATGATCGGCACCTCTAGTCACTTATCTGATAAGTGTTCTCAGTTCGCCATTCCTTCCCTGTGCCACTATGCCTTCCCATACTGTGACGAAACCTCATCTGTCCCAAAGCCTCGCGACTTGTGTCGTGATGAATGTGAAATCCTGGAAAACGTCCTGTGTCAAACAGAGTATATTTTTGCAAGATCAAATCCTATGATTCTGATGAGGCTGAAATTGCCAAACTGTGAAGATCTCCCCCAGCCAGAGAGCCCAGAAGCTGCAAACTGTATTCGGATTGGAATCCCCATGGCAGATCCTATAAATAAAAGTAAGTGGTAGCCCCTAATCACCTTCTCTTCTGCCCTGGGTCCAACAATTCCATGGCAGAGTAGAAACTAGAACTTGACCCATAGTAATTATTCACATTGGTAGTCACATTACCTCCCAATTGGCTGAACACTGCGCCAGGGGTTGAGCATGCAGTGGTGGATAAGAAACAACACCTACTTTCAAGAAGCTTCATGAAGACCAACCAGTTGCTGTAGAGTCAGTTCCAACTCATGGCAACCCAAGTATGTCCCATCAGGTTCTCAATGACTGATTTTTCAAAAGTAGACCACCAGGCCTCTTTTCCAAGGCACCTCTGGTAAACTGGAACCTCCAACCTTTTGGTCAGCAGCAGAGCACATTAACCATTTGCACTACCCAGTAACTCATTCTTGAAGACAATAATGTGAAAATATAGGGGCTTACCTACACCATTTACCCTTTCATCACCAACAACAAAAAACTGTTTCTCTGAACATTTCCTATTCATATGACTAAACTCACTGGCAATTTTTAGTCTCCTTTTGCTACTTAATACTATTGGATTAGTTAAATGAGTTGATACATCTAAAATGTTTAGAACCATGATTTTAAAACCCAAACCAAATTCATTCATCAAGTTGATTCCAACTTATAACGACCCTATAGAACAGAGTAGAATCGCCCCATAGGGTTTCCAAGGCTGTAAATCTTCAATGGAAGGAGACTATCACATCTTTCTCCTGTGTAGTACCTGGTGGGTTCAGACAGTTAACCTTTCAGTTAGCAGTAGAGCTTTCAACAACTGCACCTTAGCACATACTAAATGCTCAGTAAATATCATTCAATATCATCACTATAATTATCATTACTAAAATCTTATTACTCTGCCAAAAATTCAATTTATTTCAACTTGAGATTCTGTAGCACTTTCAGGTAACAGCTCTTGTGGTTACCTGGAAGGACTACTCAAAAGTCCTGATTCCCAAGGGTATCCAGTCCATCAGCAGAGATGGCCCTAACTGCTGTTAGAAGCCCTTCATGCACTGCCCTTAATAAACGCGCTGTGAATCACCAGCTGGATTCTTTATCACATGATTCAGGACTAAGACCAAAAATCAGAAATGGAAGGAAAAGTTTGGCTTGAACCTTCCGTGGAAATTAGAAAATTACCCTTGTGCCCCCAGGTCCCAACTCAGTTCTGATTTCTTCTATATTCAATCTTAAAAATACTTGTGGAGGAAGGGTTTGGTTCCTGAAGCATAAGCTTTAAATCCTCCCAGGAATGCAACTGTTGGGCAGGCCCTGTGTTGGAGCCCAGCAGGCAGGGAGGCTCGGCCCTGCTTGGCCCCTGACAGCAGAGAGGTTTTGGCCAAAAGGTTAATTGCACGTCCTCCTCTCCATAAACTGCTGGCTGGGAGCTCCATAATTTCCTGTGCTTCTTTCTTTCTCCCAGTTTGGGCTTTCATTTTATGTTTTGCAGATCACAAGTGTTATAACAGCACAGGTGTGGACTACCGGGGCACCGTCAGTGTGACCAAATCAGGGCGGCAGTGTCAGCCATGGAATTCCCAGTACCCCCACACGCACACCTTCACCGCCCTCCGCTTCCCGGAGCTGAACGGGGGACATTCCTACTGCCGCAACCCAGGGAATCAGAAGGAGGCTCCCTGGTGCTTTACCTTGGATGAAAATTTTAAGTCAGACCTCTGTGACATCCCAGCATGTGGTAAATCACAAGTCATTTTCTTTCATGTATTTAGTCACCTTTCAAAGATCTCCCACTTCACCCCTACTTTCCTTAGGAGGATTGTGTTAAGAAGACAACGGAGGTTGATGGTATTTGTTTGCTCTCAAAGTACATCTTTAGGCTAGATGTTCTTGTTGGCTACCTTCTACTCAGGCCCCTGACTCATGGTGACCCTCTGCACAATGGTACGAAATGCTGCCTGGTCCTGCACCATCCCCATGACTGGCGGTAGGTCGGATCACTGTGATCCATAGGGTTTTCAAGAGCTGATTTTTACAAGTAGATCACTAGGCCTATCTCTTACTTTGAAAGCTCCATCAGCATCAAAGCAGCATGGAAGCCTCCACGGTCAGACAGGTAATGGCTGCACATGATGTAGTTTGGCCTGTGCAAGAGGTACACTGGCCAGGAATCAAACTGAGGTCTCTCACATGGAAGGTGAGAATTCTACCACTGAACCACCACTATCTCTCTAGGCTAGATAAACCTTGCCGTTTTTATAGAAAATGCTTTTTGCACTCTGGTGGCGTAGTGGTTAGGCATTTGGCTGCTAACCAAAAGGTCTGTGGTTCAAACCCACCATCTGCTCCGTGGAAGAAAGATGAGGTGATCTGCTTCCGTAAAGATTTACAGCTTTGGAAACCCAGCGGGGGTCACTATGAATCGGAACCAACTCAGTGGCAGTGAGTTTGGTTTGGTTTGGTTTAATGCTGCAGAAGGGCACAGGTGGCTAGAAAGACAATAGTATTCTTGAATCAGTTTGTTCCTTTTTCCAGGAAATGGTTAGAGGATTGGAGAAAGAGAATGAAGGTATTGGTGAAACCCAGAGCTTAAGATGATTCTGAAACTTACATTAGTCTTCCTAGTCCTGATCTTCATAGATAATGTCAAGTGAGTTTCCCAGGTACTGGAGCAGGGGTGGGTTGGTAGGGAGGGCTAAATGTCAGTCATTGCTGGGAAAGCCAAGGCAAAACTACAGAGTAGAGGTCATGCAAGAGGAAATAGTCACAGGACATACAAATAACAGAAGTCAAGGTGAGCTGGTTCTTTAACTGAATAATTATCCAACCCATTCATTCCATGGTATTTATTGAATGCCTACTGCCTGCCAAATACTCATCCAGGCTCAGGAATGTAGTGGCTACTCAAAGATGGGAGTAGACTTAGCACATCCATGAAAGAGCAAGAAGGTCGTTGAGGCTGAAGCAAAATGAGCAAAGGGAAGAGTGGTACAAGATGAGGTCATAAAATGACAGGACCAAATCATGTAGTATCTTATAGGCCATTGCAGGACTTATGCTATTAACCTTCATGAGTTGGGAAGGCATTAGAGTATTTTGAGCAGAAGAGTGATATGATTTGACTTACATTTTAAAAGGATGATTTTGACTTCTAGGTTGAGAATAGACTGTGATGACCAGGTTACTGATGGATGGATCAGATGTGAGGTATACAACTTAGGATCAAGAACAGCTCCGAGGCTTTTGAATGGAATTACCTTTTATTAAAATGCAGAAGGAGCAAGCTTAATGGGAACTAGAATAAGAAGTTTGTTTTTGTTCCTGCTGAATTTGAGATGCCTTTTAGAAATCCTGAGGAGGAGGCAGTTATTCGAGTCTGGAGTTCAGGGGTGAGGTCTAGGCTGGAGATAAACATTCAGCATATGTCAGCATATAGATGCTATTTAAAGTCATGAAACTGAATGGGAAGCCACACTTAGAAAATGAGCAGCCCAGCCATGAGGGGAAGAAGAATATATCTGATTAATGAGATATGAATGATAAAAGAGTTGAAGACAATTAGTTGACTTTAAACTGAATAGTCAGTGTAGGTAGATTCTATTAATATAAAAGCTACTTTATTGAGTGACTACTATGTGGCGTAGTGCCTGAGCCATTTGACTGTAAACCAGAAGGCTGGCAGTTCAAACCCACCGGCCACTCCTCGCAAGGAAGACTGGGCAATCTACTTCTGTAGAGATACCACTTCGAAAACTCAAGGAGGGGTCGCTGTGAGTCAAATCAACTTGACGGCAGTGAGTTTGGTTTGGTTTTTCTGACTATGTGCTAAATCCTGTATGACAGAGACATCTTGTCTCTATTACCTTGTTTAATTCTTATATCCAGTCTCTATTATCCCCATTTTATGGATTAGGAAACTGGGACTCAGAAAGAATTACACAACTTGCCCAAAGACATCCAGCTTTCAGTGGATGAATCATGTATGGAACTCAGCTTTGCCTGATTCTCAAACCTGAGCAATACCCAAGCAATACTTTTTCCTCTAAGAGAAAGAAAATGAGTCTTTTTAGAAGCAATAACAGGTAAACTATAAATGTGTAAACTGAAAAAACTCACTGCTGTCAAGTCAGTACCAACTCATAGTGACCCCTCCTTGGGTTTCCGAGGCAGTTTCACTACAAAAGTAAATTGTCCAAGCTTCCTTCGGAGGAGTGACTGGTGGGTTTGAACCGCCACCCTTCTGGTGAACAGTCAAATGCCTTAGGCACCACACCACGAGAGCTCATAGTAAAAGCAGTTTATCACAGTGGTTAAGGGCAGAAGTTCTGTGTTAAAGTACTTGGGTTTGAATCTCAGTTCTTCAAGGAACTAACATTTAGGCAAGTTTCTTAATCCCTCCTAGCCTCATTTTTCTTATGAATAAAATGAAAATAATACATACCTAGGGTTTATTGTGAGAATGAATGAGTTAATATGAGACTGTATTGTGCCTGGAATATAATAAATGCTCAATTAAAATTATTATAATTGTAATATAGTCAACATATAAAGAGAAATGTTTTCTGTAAGTTCAGCAAATGTTGATAGAGAGCTAACTATTAATCAGGAGACCTGAGAGAGGGATAAAATGTGATTCTTGCTTCTGTTGATCTACAGTAAAGTGGCTGAATCAATTACAGTGCAGCATTTATGATACAGTAGAGATTAGCATGAATGTCATGGAACAAAGAAGAGGAGGAGCTAAAACATAATGAAGAAAGTAATAAAAATATGATAGTAAACCCTTATTGTTGTTGTTGTTATGTGCCATCAAGTCAGACTTGACTCATAGCGACCCTTCCTTGGGTTTCTGAGGTGGTATCACTGCGGAAGTAGATTGCCCAACCTTCCTTCCAAGGAGTAGCTGGTGGGTTAGAACCACCAGCCTTCTGGTTAGCAGTCAAGTGCCTTAGGCACCATGCTACCAGGTCTCCTAATAAACCCTTAGTAATGAAAATTTGAGAAACTATTATTCTACAATTTCATTTTTATGTGTCACCTGATATCATATTACTTTCTTCTACAAAATGGTTTTATGGATAGTTGAACACATTAAATTGGAGAAAGAGGTGATCACTCCCTTTTGTGTGTTTCTGGATTTTAAAATACCTTCATACAGAGGATAAAGAATAAGTTATGAAGTAAACTCTCACACCCACCATTGGTAACTTCATAGAAAATTATCCAGTATTTTTAATGTCTCATACTTCATAGTTTGTGAATTTTCTCCACATTAAATTTAACATTAAGAGAAGAGAAATTTTTTTTTTAATATAGATTTACAATTACTTACTTAGTTACCTCATCCCTTCTCTAGGCAAGACTGAAGATCTACAGAAGAGCCAAGGATAAAAGCAACACTTACTGTGTCCATGTGCCTGTCTCAGTGCTCAATGTTTTCACATGCTTTATTTATACTTATTCTCATAGTGTGACAGGTATTATTAACTGATGATGAAACTGAAACTTAGACAGCCCAAGGTCACCCAACTAGTGCATGGCAGGTCTGTCTGACTCCAAACCTCATCTTAACTGCTTCTCTACTGTGTTGTCTCAGGATACTGATGTGTGTCCATAAGGAGACCAAAGGGATGATTTTGAAAGGTTTCTTTCAAAAGAAACACATTGTTCACTGCTCACTAGGTGACTGCCATTGACCTTTAAGTGACTTCTGATCCTTAATTTCTAACTAATGCCTATCAAGAGTAGGGAGATAATATGCCCCTAAGCTGGAAGCTTTGTTGATCTCTTGTTTAAGGACTCAAGCTCTGTTAGTTTAAGTAAAGATTATAAATTATAAAAAGTTTTGATTTTTATTTCAACAGTCTTCCTGAAGCAATCACACATTCTGAGACACAAAAGAAAACCATTAAAGATCTTTCAGACTACAGAGAGAGATCACTTGTATTTATAAAATACCTACTAGATGCCTGCTTGATGCAGTGCTTTATGTAATCATCTCTACTTATACCTTATAACCACATGGTGAAGAGGTGGTATTAACACCCTCCCAGTGAGGTTCAGAAGAGCGAAATAACTTTTCTAAATCACATAGCTAACCACTGATAGGGTTGGACTTTGAACCCTCATCTGTCTACAGAGCTGTGATCAAACTACAAAGCTTATGGTCTTTTCTCAGACACTCTACTAGCTCCAACTGAAGTTTTTCAGGGACAAATACAAGAAGGACAATAGGCTCACTCTCTGGATTCCACCATGCTGATTCCTACAGCATACAGTGACATCAAATAATGTTTCCTTATTGATGAAGAAATCCATCCTACTATTATTCAGTATACTATTATATTAGGAGCTCTGGTAGCATAGTGCCTAAGGCACTCGACTGCTAACCAGAAGGCTGAAGGTTCAAACCCACCAGCCACTCCTGGGAAGGAAGATGGGGCAATCTACTTCCATAGTGACACTGCCTCGGAAACCCAAGGAGGGGTCGCTATGAGTCGGGTCTGACTCGACGGCACATAACAACAACATTATAGTACTAATCAGTACAGTGATGTCAGAAACTCTCAGAATAATTCTTTCTGAATCTCAGTTTGCAGAGGACACAGTTATAGTTCTGAGGACTGGTTAATTCTGATCATGTGAGAGAGAGATTTAGATGAAAGTTAAATGTAGAGGTGATGAGGCAGTTTTCACCACTTAGAATAAAAAAAAAAAAATTCATTTCATTTAGAAAGA